AACCAGAACAGGTGAAAAGGAGGAGCCTTTCAGAGGCTGGTGAGTCAATGCAAGGGACTGGTGCAGGGCCCATCTCATGGGAAGTGTTTGCAGCATGGCAGTGGGGGAGACGGGCCCATGGGGGAAACACTGGGACACAGCAAGGACAGCTGATCCAATCCCCAGTCGGCACAGGACCACTCAGAGGAGACTGGTTGGGAATGCAGAATTGCATGAGGTACAGTTTGATGAAAAAACTAAGGCCCAAATCAGAGTTTCTACACAACCCAGGTACACTGAGTCTCTGGAGAGCCGGAAGTACCTGTAAGGTCAACCATTAAACCCTGAGCTGCACAAAAAGCCTTCCTTAGGGAAACAGCAGCAAAGCAGCAATTTAGCTCAACAATACAGCTCAAGTGCTGGTTCCCACAGGAGAAATTTCCCCTGTGTTTGAAGTAAGCAAAGGACAAAAAATTAGTTCCGTCCCAGGCACACCACCAGCGTGTTGGGGCCCACCAGGGGACATGAGGCATGGAGCCGAGGACAGGACCCCCACCCATAACCACTCACACCACCAGCACTTTGGGGCTTGCCCAGGAACCTGAGACTTGGAGCTGGGGACCGGACCCCACTCTCACATCCAGGCACACTGCCAGTGCCTGGGGACCCAGAGCATGCAGCCAGGGACTGGACCCCCTGCCCACAACTAGGCACACCGTGCCAGCACCTTGGGGCTCACCTAGGGACCTGAGTCATGAGGAAGAGGACTGGACCCCCCTCCCACAACCAGGCACACCAAGGCAGGACCCAAGGCATGGAGAAGGGGACCGGACCACCCTCCCACAACCAGGCACACCACACCAGCACCTCAGGACACACCCAGGACCCAAGGTATGGAGCTGGGGACCAGACCCCCCTCCCACAACCAGGCACACCATGCCAGTGCCTCAGGGTCCTGCCTGAGGGCCTGGGGCATGGAGAAGTGGACCAGACCCCCCCTCCCACAACCAGGTACACCACGCCAGTGCCTTGGGGCCCACCCGGGAACCTGAAGTGTGGAGTTAGGGACCAGACACTCCCTACAACCGGGCACACTACCAGCACCAAGGAGCATGCCAAAACATCACCTCCATGTGGATGGCCCACCACAGCCACCAAAGTAACCATGGCTGCTGTGA